CTGCACAGGTGTGTTTTAGTTTAGATGCAGACTTTCATCCTGCACAGATGTGTGTTAGTTCAGATACAGACTTCGATTTATTTTAGAAGAGCTTCAGACCAGTACAGATATTATGTTTTAGTTCGACAAATATTATTACTGAATATTGATATAGATAACTGCTGCAAGCAATGGTAAGTTATATGATTAATATCTATATTTAATATTGACATGGGGTGATATATTTAATATTGCAGAGGCTGATAATCCTTGGGTCGGGGAATTGGATCAAATTTTTTCATTGCGATACATGCTCACAAAATATTAGATTCATTCAGTTGATAGCAGTCTGGCAAATTGGAAATTTTTTTTTAAATAGAAAAGTACTTTAAAAAAATTGGGCTATTTTGGCACTAAATTTGGATGATCTGTTATTCGGACAATACTTGAATTGAACAGACAGCGTTTTGGGCACTAGTAAGACAACACAGGATCCGCCTACATACAGAGTTTTAAGTTTCTACTCCTAATGATATCTTGGTTATGGCCACAAACTCAACTATCTCTGAAAATTGAATTTAATGAAAACCAAAGCTTGAGTGGCTATAGCTTGTTCTTGACAGGGTCTAGAACCACAGTTGAATGTTACCCACAACTAACAGCATTCTTTCTAACAAACTGAAAAATAAAACTGACAGACATTGACATAATAAAAACAAGCGAAATGAATTAAAAATACCAAAATTTGGAATAAAATGTTCCGTTTATCAATACCCCAGATGAAGAATATGTGGACATCTTTACAAAATTAAGCATGATTTAGACTCGACAGGGAGATCTGACATTTTGGGCAGACGGGTATAGTGACAACAATAATTATTATTTCATCTATTTGGCAAAATAAAGTTCCCGAAATATAATAAAACACCAATTGTACATTTCTTTTAATTGAATACCACGAATGGGTGGTTGGAATTCAGGTCGGTATAGGGTGGGATTTCGGTTGCAACCCGATTGAACACTTTGAAGTTGCTCAATTCGCGAGCTAGAAAAGCAGAAAAAACGCATATGCGGCGGTTAAATTTTCAATTTTTTTCGGGGAGCTGAGTCCCTCATACTACGCGATGATTGAATGGTTGTTGGGGATTTGTTATTCGGGTAAGTCACCAAACAGAGACTATTATGGACCACTTTCAAGTTGCTATAATCACGTTCTAGAATAGCCGGAAAACGCGTTTGCGGCAGTTAAATTTTCAAACATTCATCGAGCTAATACGCTTATGCATCACGTTAGCATCTATGTATAAATTTATCTGATATTTCTAGATTTATCTTGATAAGAGGCCATCGGTGAAACGTGAAACACCCTTCATAAAAGACTTCTGGTTATTAAAATATTTAAAAGTCACGTTATAATCCAAACATGTAAATAATGAATTTATTTATCCTTGATTTATACATACATATTATACAATTTTAACACCGTTTTCTTTATATTAGTACTGGTATACTTATTCAACAAGGACGTTACTCAAAAATCTTTTTTTTTTGTTACACATGTGACGGCGTTAAGGAGCATAAAAGGGATGACTATTCATTTTATTCGTGCAAACCAGTGCGGTGTTACAACAGTTACATTGCGGATTGGGGGCCTATACGGTAAGCCCTGCTCCGTCATCTCTCGCAGACGACCGGCACCGTCGTCTATAACCCGGAATATTTTCGGGCATTTCAGGTTCTGCCCCCTAACATTCATCGAGCCCGTACGCCTATGGTTAAACGTCCACTGGACACACACTAGGTCATTTGGGGACGAACATATATTTGGACATCTGTACAAAATTCATATATTCCATTCAGTCGTCATCAAGGATGATTTTGACAGTAGTTTTATTTGAATAGAGAGAATCCATAAGGTTGAACAGATAACACTAGAACGTGTTACCTGCCAGCTTGTAATGGAAACTACGCAACCTAACTCTATGACCTTACGATCTACATCTCACGTGTTAGACCACCGTTCGCTTAATTTAGGGACAATGACATTGATACAGAATAAATATTATATGAATATGGTCTAGTAATGTAATGAAACATATTTCAGCTCCAGAGTAAAATATCACTTCGTTGTCAATAGCCGCGGGGGGTTCGCAGCAGCATCTCCGGTACGTTCTCGTGACTGAAAATACTCCGTGGAGAATCGGACAACCGAACCGCGAGAAAAGCATATCAGCTAAGCCCAAGATCATAAGTTGTTATGTTAGCCGTGGTTTGAGGGACTTGGGAGTGTTTCTGAGGTGCATACATGTTTGCTCATGTAATAGGTTTTAAGGACGAGGGTGGGGGGGGGGGGGGGTAAATGATCCAGTGGCATTGAGCCATAATCAAATGATCAGCATGACTACTCACGCCAAAATTGATCAAATCTTTTAAATTAACAATGGATGGAATATTTGAATTGCATATGTACACATATAGAGATGTTAAGTATGGCATTGTTCAACTGTCGACTATCTTTAAATGGTCGCTGATTATCACCTTTTCTTCAATGTTTGGTTGCTTGAACTTTCCTCGTGCAAAATAGGTTATTTTGTCAAAAATGTTTTAGAAATATCCCCATATGTATTTAGGAGCCGTTCAGTGTACATGAACATTTACAAGTTTTAATCGACAGGTTTTGAAAAACATTGGAGACAACATACACTCCATATTGAAATCTCCCGAAGGAGAAAGTTACATATATAATATAGGCTAAAACAGCATAAAACAATAAGGTCCTAAAACTTATAATAACATAAGAAGGCAGGTCAGAATCTAAGTACATTTTTACACTTCCCAGCTACATAACTACTAAATACAAATGAGAATAATAAAATAAAACCAAGTACGAACAATCCAAACCATAAGACAGAATTCGAAGTCCTAAAAAACGTTATAGGCAAAATAGTGTATTAAAGCAAAATAGTGTAATCAGCAAATGGACTGCTCCTCGTGTACAAAATACACGACAAACAGTGGTAACAGGTGTCCGGAAGAGTAAACTTACCCTGCCTGGCGCCACACCCGCCATAGCTGCATCCAAACTATTAGGCGAAATCTCGGTAAAATAGCGTGATTGGCCAATGGACTATCAATGACAGCCTACACAGGTTGTGTTCCCAAAACAAACGGTATAGGCTAAATAGTGTAATCAGGCAAAATAGTGTAATCAGCAAATAGACTGCTCACCGTGTACAAAATACACGACAAACAGTGGTAACAGGTGTCCGGAAGAGTAAGCTTACCCTGCCTGGTGCCACACCCGCCATAGCTGCATCCAAACTATTAGGCGAAATGTCGGTAAAATAGCGTGATTGGCCAATGAACTATCGGTATGCAAAATGCACGCGATGAACTGTGTTAACGATGTAGTAGACATTATCAGGGAGATAGTAATAGTATACGTGTCAATTAAATATATCTAGAATAATAGCCGGGAGAGACACGTTATATTTACAATCAAATCAATATGACGGCCATAAAACTTTTTAAAGGTTTTAATAAGTTTAGTGCGCAAGTATCCTTGTAGTTGAAGCTTAGATGACAAATGCCTCGATCTACTTAAAAAATCAGAATAAAAGGAACAAGCTCTCGAGTAACGAATTAGCTGAGACACAAACACTCCATAAGCTGATGATATTGGAATGTTACTACTAATAAAGGGAAAGTTAACAATCGGAAAGTCAAAGTCATCACGTTTATCGTACAATTTAACACTCAGTTTATGGCAATTGTCAAAATCGAGACGCAGATCCAAGTAGGAAGCGTAATTATCACTGTCAGTGGTGTAATAATCGTTGTCTGATTCTGCAAAATTACACCCCTTCCCAACGATGATCGTGAGCGTCCGAATTTGTATAAAAAAAAACTTTATTTTTTTTAAAACTAAATTAACATATTTGACAAGAGGAACGCTCAAATAACAAAATATAGTACTATATGTTGATAATCGATGGTCATTCGAGCTCTTGAAGATAGTCGCCGGATATCAATAAAAAAAAAGAGAATCCCATGGAAAATACTGATTTTTGCACATTTTCAGAATATTGAAGCACACTAGTGGTTTTAGTGGCGTTCTGACATACATTATACTTTGACGAATGCCCTTCATAAACACACCAAGGAATTCTATGGCTGATCAGCCAAGAAGCAGCTACACACGCTTTAGGATGATATATTTTTCAACTTGTGTGAAATGACCACTTTAAGATAACTTACAGAAAATTCCACACTAACCATTCATTCCCAAACGACTGCATACCAGACCAATGTCGAAAGTTTAGGGTCACAACATTTCAAGAGAGAGAGAAATGGGGTTTAACGTCCACTCGACACAAACTAAGTCATTTCGGGACTAGCATATGGTTCAATTTTATTTCAATAATTCGCTTGCGCATAGGGGACTTTAGCAGTGGGAGGAAACCGGAGGACCCGGAGAAAACCCACGAGGTTGGACAGGCAACCCTACTCCTTGTCACGTACAACCGGGGAATTGAAATCCCGCCAGTTGACTCAATGACAGGCCGTATGATACAGCGCGCGCGTGCTAACCATTCGGCCATCCAACCCCCCCCACAACATTTCAAATAGGAGCGTTTTCAAATTTGGGTTAAAAAAAAAAATGGTCGAAATATGGCACATTTTGACCCAAATCAACAATTCCAGTTATACCGGAAATTGTCTTCTAGCAATTACTTTCACTGAATCGCATGACCTGTATCGGGTAAAGGCCCTCGTAAACAAAGTTTGGATGAAAATTGCTGACCCTCAGGGTTATGTTGGGGTTTTTTACTCAATTTTTGTATTGTCCTCTCGCGGACGCGTTCTTAATATATGTTATGAATATCTATTACCAGTGTTGGTAAATTGTATACTGGCCATCACACTATTCTCAAACTTCATCTTTTATCTAAACACACCCCAGAAATACATAAAACCGTAAAATACCAGACATATATTAATTCAAACCGTTTTGATATATCTTAAATAATGTGTAATAAGATTGTGTAGACAGATTTTCTCTTTTTTAAGAGCAAAGCTTCACCAAGGAATCTTTACTTAAAAAGGCATTATTCAAGAGCTAAATTTGCCTATTGCAGGCCTTAACGTGGCAAGATCATAATCGACTCTCGGTGATATCGGATGACTCAGAGTTTAAGTAGATTAGAACGATCAGGTCATTTAATAAATTAATCCAAAATGGAGAAATGGAGAAGTGAGGCTAAGTCTCGAATAACCAACACAGTCATTACGAAAATAAACAATCAATGCACACATCTTGTCAAAACTACAAACAATGGTAACTTCGCACAGAATAATTTGAATGAAATTTTCAATATATTCATTGTGAACTATTATGGCATCTAAAACTTACTTAACGTTTTAATATATGAACTGATTTACATTCTATCGTTTCCGTTCTTACTCTAATTTCAAATCAGTTATGTTCGACAAAATACGCCAGAAGTCGCAGTCGAATACCAATCTCAAGCGTCTGGTTATTCCAGTCTATTGGAATCTCTAGTCTCCGTCTTTCTTGTCTCTTGTTAAAATTGACAATGAAACGCATTATAGTACACGATTCGTTTACCGATGGTAAAATGTTTATTTAGTCTTAAATATTGGATATCAGAAGCCCATCTTTTCCCGGTAAGAACACAATATCAATAATGTTTCTTAAATAGTTCCAAAGAAAATTGCTAATTATTTGAGCTACGATATCGATAAGCATGTTCCAGATTGTTTATTGAACAATCCCTTCTAAATTCTAATTCCTTGAATAAATGACACCTGGTGAATATTATTGTAAATTGTCAGTACGTATAATACCGATTAGATAATTTGGATGACTTTTGAAATGCGGAATCCAAGATGCCAGGTTGACATGGCGGATGGTACAATGTCTTCAGCGCAAGATATTGTAATTTAATTTTTATGTGTTAAGACCGAGACCAGCAATACGGTTCGTCCACACGATTGCTTATTGGGGGAGTCAGTTGCCTTACCTTGGTACCCATAATACCACAATACAGCATGTGGTATCCACGATAGTTCATATGTAATGTATGGTATAGACCTACAAGGGAGATACTACTATGCATCAAAGATCCCTTTTCCAAAAACCTTGGGATCGCGGTAGAGACTAAAGATTTTAAGTGATTTTTTTCATGCTTGTGAACACGACAGATAAGATTTCCTAATCAATTTGGCTAACATCCAAGTTTTCCTTCCAGGAAATCATCTGTCTGAAACAAAGCCGTGTAAGGGCGTATTTCCATGGCGAGTTGTTTTAATGGATTCATTGACCCTAATTAACTATGCATTGCTTAAAACTGTCTGTGTGACATGATAAGACAGTTTATATAATTTGGTGAATATTTGGTGACCATGGTGGACTCCACAATTGTGTACACGCAATTGGCCCCTGAAACCTAGTTATAGAACCGAAATTGCCATCTGACATAAAAGGCAGGAGTGTTATGTTGAGTTATATGGAATGGTGACCATCGTCGACGCCATCTTGAATTTAAACTTTCCTTTACATGGTTCATTTTTGTTTTACTCTTTATCCAACATGATTCAAGCTCCAAAATGAAAGGACATATAACTGCACACAGACGGCTTCTCCCAGCTGTTTCATCTGTAAGAGTATGCAGTGCTATGCAGTCGCTGGTTAGATGTGGGAAATATGCCGGGAGAACTCCCCACATCCAACGTGTGGTGCATACTCTCTTTTCTTCTAACCTTCTTCCAGGATACTCGATCTCGTAGTCACGTGCACCAAATCGAATATGTAACACCATAGGTCTTCTGTCTGACGTGGAGAGCGGACACAGTACTAAAACCGGTCGCCACATCCTACATACGACCCATGCATTTTTTCTTACTACATATTTCTGTAGCCTTGTGATCGTCTAGAATTTGTCTCTAGCTGTCTTTACTTCTGCTTCACGTTGTGTATTTACTTCTTACAGTTTCTTAAGACGTTTGTCTTACCAGGAATAACAATGCGACAGTTTGCTTCTACATTTTATATATATATATATAGCTGAATACAGGTATACAAGCATAATAGATAACAATACTAGCTAAAACCATTTCTCTACCCTAGCCAGCCTCGCGGATGTCTAGGAACTCAGATGTAAGCTCCCTGGAACCTAATAGAAGCCTGTCTTACAAAGTTCAAATAGATATCTTATATAGCAACCACGTTTATCATGCACAGGAAGCCTGTTCATGGCCCTGAACCTGTGCAATTAACGATATGATTGGTTACTTTAAATCAAATGATGCAATTAGAATAATTCCACTCACGTGTAACTCTGGTGGTAAATAATTGACATATGTTTTCGATAAATAGCTCTTTTTATGTGTCAACTGTCAATTACAGACTAAGTTGATTTAGTACACACTATATATGTGAATATGTCTGAAATTACTAACTTGCCAAAGATATTAATTATTGAAATATAAAGCCATCTTATTTCAAGAGCAAAAATTCTAGCAATATTATCACACATCCTCCCGTGACAACAATCATCAGCACAAACCATAACCCATTAAAAATTGTTGCCCCTATTCCCTTCACAAGCTAATGAAATCTTTCTAATTATCTTAGGGTTGTAGAGTGCGGTACAGTATGGAAGTCAATCAGCTGTCAACATTATTTATATCAACTTTATTATATTCCGGTTTAGGTAAGTAGTAATCATTAACTTGTCATAGTACTTATATAGTTTAGGTAAGTAGTAATCATTAACTTATCATAGTATTTATATAGTTTAGGTAAGTAGTAATCATTAACATGTTATAATATTTTAATATTTATTGATCCTAGTTTAGGTAAGTAGTAATCATTAACATGTTATAGTATTTATATAATAAAATATTTTTCACCTAGCTTAGAACAGATGGAAATACTATTACAGTCTTCCCATCCTCTTATTCGTCTTCTTGTGTACAAAAAGAGAGAAAAAAAAATGTTTAACGTCCACTCAACACCAACTAGGTCATTTTGGGAAGAACACATGGAATGTTTTAATTCACGGTTTTGGATAGGCACTATACTCCTTTTCACGTACAAGCCTGGGATCGAACCCACAATCCATGCATCGATGTTATTCTTTGCAATCATTTCAAAAAAACACCTTTATCATGCAGCTAGATGCATTTGCATTTCCAACAGATTTAGTACAATTTTTACAGTGAAATATTTTGTTTGTTAACATCCCTGTATTATAGCATTAGAAGTATGTAGAAATACAGACAACACCAACTGTCAATCATGTGGTAATACTGTATATCCTAGAGATGAGATTTATAGACAGAACTGTATGAGGTCATGTGGTGTTTGCACAGGTATTATTTGTATTTTTTTGTATGAAATTTTGAAACATCAGACAAGATAGAAAATATTAGGTTAAGCTGAATTAGAAATTGTAATAATAGTCATAAAAATAACCTTAATCGTAGAATCCTTATTGTTGGATGACTGAAAAATATTTTCAAAATACATTCCATAACAAATTCCAGAATACGACTGTCTTTGGTACATGGTTCGGAAATAAACATAGATAATCTACAGTGTAATGAATCCCGTTTTAGTATTATTTTTGTTCTACATTAGGATTGAAAACAAGCAGTTTGCACATTGATTCAGAATTGTATTGAATTTATAGTTACAAGTATCGCTACTAGAAGACCAACCAACCAGAGTTCAACTTATAACGATTCACGGCTTCCATTTAATTATTCACATTCAAGAAATGCTGTAGATCGTAATATTGATAATCACTGTGAGAATGGTCACTGTTCACATACACAGGATGATAAACCTATTTGGTGGTGTGTTGATCTACAAGGGATTTATAATATTAACAGCATGACAATATACAACAGAAATAGATGTAAGTTATTTCTTCTGCTATGGATAAATTTAGTGTTTTTATAAAACACATATCAGGTCCCGCATCGAGCGGCCTCTTTTGTGTCTATACTCCTTTCATGGTTGTTAATAAATGATAGACATTATGGACAAAATACCATTGATTTACTGTATGGATTTTACTGAAATTTGGTAAAACCATTACTTGTGGCGTTACCTGGAAAATGGAAATTCGTAGGAATTATAAGAGATTTTCAGTTTGCAAAATGCACATATTTGTATACAGGAATTGAAATAAGGAAATAACAAGTGTATAGTTAAAGAATGACAATTTTAGAGTTGACGAAAAACTATGTATATATCTCAATTTATTAAAATCAAGTTACTGAAAGTATCCGTCATGTTATATCTAAAATCATTTGATACTTTTTGAAATGATTATCAGTCAGAAATAAGATATAGAAAATACCACGAACACCAATACCATTAAACTAAAGTAAAAATAACAAACGTGTATCGTAGGTTCATGATTTTATTTCAAGTAATGCAGATTGTAAGATTAAATCCAGTAACTCGTCTATAATGTTATATTTTCTAGTTGAAGAGAGATTACAGGGATTTGAGATTAAGATTAGTTATAGTGGTACATGTAATCAAACAGGATTTCAATCAGCTACATCATGTTATAAAGATACAACATCAACACAGTCTGTTTATAATGTAACTGGATGTAATCAACGTTCATATAAAGCATTTTCTGGTAGAACTGTATATGTCTCTGTTTCAAGTCAATCACTTACTTTATGTGAAGTTTTGATATATTCCGGTAAGAAATGATAAACTAAAAAAATAAATTGTTCGACCATAAAGTATATTACTTAAACATACTTATACATGTAACACTACAAATAACAGAAGATCAGCTTTATTGATAATACCTTTATTAAGAACATGAAATAGACATAATTCGGGATGAGCTCTATTCCAAGTCTCACTTACTGTCAGTAAACGCCTGCTTATATAGCGTTCAACAATTAGGGAACATGAACAAGAGTGATCATCATAAAATATGGTATTGTTTATTTATCAAATTATAGTGTCTTTATTTTCTTGGATGTCATTGTCAGGTCATAGTATGATACACTGACCACTACTACATTCTCTTTGAAGTTCTGCCGAGTGTTATACACAGATCATGTGTAGCTGGTAAAGGACATATTGAATTAATTAGATGTTTAACAAGACCGTAGGCAGTCCTTGCCTTAACAGAAGTTTATACAGAGGTGAAACGTCAATATCATATATTATCAAATCTGGCAGAGTTCATAAAGTTATATGCACCTAAATGATCGAGCAATTTGATGAAAAGTATAAATCACTTTGTCACATACATGCATTATGCAAGAGCTAAATCTGCCTATTGCGGGTCTTTCTTTAGACCTGAAATGTTATCTAAATTATTAATTAGACATTAATTAACTTATCCAAACCATAATCAACTCTCGATATCATCGCTAGTCTGCGATATTTACTGGATTAGGATCCGATCTGCTTCTCAACGCTCATTCATGATTATATTAAGAAATGGATAATCGAGACTGTGTTTTTATCGTACCAACTTTAGTAATGATGATTGAGGCTATGCCCAAGATTCAATAGCTAAATGCTCTGTTCAGAGTGGATCAATTTGACAATTTCAGCAAATTCACTTTACATTATCTAGTTTTTAACTATTATAATCAGAACTGCCAGCTTTTTATCTAATATAATGTATCTTTGAAGTTATTATCTAATGCATTCACTCAGTCCTTCATGTTTATAAAATTGTGCGGAAGCCATAAATAGCTCCTGATATTTTGAATATATGCAGTTTAAAAGTAAACAAAAACTGAAAGTAGTTTATTTATCTCAATATTTAGGATAGCGATTTAGCTAATTTTCAGGAATCTTTAATGACTCCTTCGAAGGAAAGCCGACGTGCGTCGAGAGGAGCAGGAGCGAAAGCTCCCCTTAAACGTGAAGGACTGATTCACTACATTCACGCATTGGCATGCCTTATTGTACTGTAGTTTTAGACGACTCGGTGTTGGAACGATTAAATGTGGGTTGGAGAGTGGGTTAGATAGGGATATAGATGGCTCTATGCGTGACATGGTCGTCTTATTTTTGTATTGTATATGTACTACATAATGCCATCTTCAATAGCAGGCTTGATCTCGCGTTAACTCCGTACATCATATCGAAGGCCTCACGTAATACTCTGCATTTTTCGACACTAATTTCGATTAGTCATTGACCCAGCAGCTAATCTTTTTGAATCCTCGATAGAAAATACCATCGCGAATTCCAAGTTCTGCGTTTTCCAACTGACGGGTTCGTTGAAGTCAAAGTTGCTTGAACTTTTCAGCTTTTCTGCTATCAATATGCTATGACCCACTTCACATCTTAGTACAAATCTTTCCGGTAAAAAAAAATTTGAACGACTGTAAATGAATGTATTCATATATGTGTTTGTATCACGTGTCTGTAGTAAAGGAAGATAACGTACCTAATATTTCGAGGATTTTAGACTAATCAATGGACGACTAGATTTTGTAAAACTCTCAGACATTACATCAGGAACATGCTATAATACAGGATACTACAGCATATCAAATATAGCACATAGCAATAAATTACTGTTTATTACAGATTTAGTACTGTATATCATCCAGCTAATCTAGCGTAATCTAATACTGGATAGTACAGTAATACATGCTATAATGATATATTATCTATATTCCAGCACAATGCAATACTGGATACTACAGTATATCAAGTTGTACATGTCAACCTTGTAATACATGTTATAATAACACATGTAATCCTGATACTGGTGATTGTAATGGAGGCTGTAAAACAGGTTTTTATGGTAAAAAATGTCAACAGAACTGTAATGATGGTTGTGTAAACAATCAATGTTCTAAATCTAATGGTAGATGTACTAATTGTATTACTGGAAGATATGGACATACATGTGGTAAGAACTGCAATACAGGATGCGACGGTGGATGTGACAGAGATGGTAGATGTACTAATTGTATTATAGGAAGATATGGTGATAGGTGTGATAAGAACTGTAGTACCGGATGTGATGGTGGATGTGATAGGGGTTTTGGTAAATGTACCAACTGTATTACTGGAAGATATGGTGATGAGTGTGATATGGATTGTAGTACAGGATGTTATGGTGGATGTGATAAAACTGATAGTAAATGTACGTCTTGTATTAAAGGTAAAACTGGAGACAGGTGTGATATCGACTGTACTACTGATTGTGCTGTTTGTAATCAGGATGAAGCTAGCTCTTGTACTGAATGTAATGATGGAAGATGGGGACCGTCGTGTAATAAACTATGTAATACTAATTGTAAACCAGTAGTAGGTACAACTGTTGGTAAATGTGATCAGATGACAGGAAATTGTATAAATGGATATGTATCTGGTACAACAGGCAAGTTTACATAATTTAACTTTATTCCCTGATCTCAAATCATTCATCATTTTATTAGACCTTAATTGCCAATCGCGGAAAAGCTAAAATGGATTATATTAAACAACTAATTCTAAAATTTATATTAAGGAAATTATTGCAAAATATTATTCCAACTCTAATACAACCACATAAAATAAATCAGCACTTTAGGCAATCTATCGAATTCATTTAGGCCAACTTATATTTTGAATGATGGGGAATCGTTTGTAAAAAATAAACTGTTTGTATAATTACTACAAAAGGACGTCAATTACGCAATGTCAGGAACAATGTCGTCACGAGCGTCAAATATTTCATCTAGTATAAAATAATGTACATTTCGCACCTTGTCCGCACATCTTTTAAATAATAGCACGGTAACACGAAGGGTTGACGTTACATCAGTATTTTAACTAGAACTATGGCATACATTCAGTACAGATGTGGGTGGTAATAACATCGATGGCTGATAACAAATAGGTGTCTTGTGTTAACATACTGTGAATCAGGTAGTTATGGTTATGTTAGATTTGTTGAGTTGTTTATCTGTCTATATGTAGGTCCACATGTAAGGGCAATGATAGGTAATGTTACGCTAAAGTAAAATGACTTCCGCTTTTCGAAACGAAAATTATGTGAGTTTTTGTCCCATCAATAATCGAAAAAAACGCCAAATAAACCCAATCCAAATCCAACTCTTCATTTTCACCAAAATCATCCCTGATATCTGGTGGATAAATTTCGTATAAGTATAACACCTGTAATATTGTCTTTAATAGAACTTTTACCTGTTGTGGTATATGTTGTAAGTGGTGCTCTGGGTGGTATAATTGGTACGGTAGCGGTCTTCCTGTCATACAATTTCTACATGAAAAGGTAATATATCTCAGACTGTTTTATATATTGAAATGATAGAACCCCTTTGTTGTTGGTTTTTTTTTGTTTTGTTTTTTTTTACCTTTTTCTAAATGATAACTTATAACTAGAGACTGATCCCATGTCTTGAAAGTATAAAGTTGAAACTTTATGCTGTACTAATTAACCAATCTAAGATTTAAAGATACATTATGAGAGATTACACAAAGAACTGGTAGTTCTAACTATAATAGTTAAAAACGGAATTTGCTGAAAATTTCAGTCAAATTGATCCACCATGAACCGAGAATTTATCGATTGAATTTTGAGCCTAGCCTCGATCATCAGGGCTAAAATCGATAAGATAAAATATATAGTCTCGATTATCCATTTTTTGATTTAATCAGAAGCAGCAGACCGAGTTCTAATCCACTAAACATCGCAAGCTAGCGATGCCATCGATAGTTGATTATGGTCTGGATAAATTAATTAATGTCTAATTAATAAGTTAAATAGGATTTAAGGCTTAAAGAAAGACCTTCAACTGACAGATTTAGCTCTTGCATAATGTATGTTTAAGTAGATCGTTTAGTCGTTTAACATGACGAACCCAATTGTTTATCAATAATATCCGATCATAACTTATAGAGTTATATCCGTAGTAACTGTTTCTACCCATTGATAGGAGGAATTATAATATTGGCATTTGATGGGTAACTTCCTGAGCTATGCCCCATTGTTTTGAAGCCTTACGCCCGTCCTTCCTTAGGTCAGATTTTAGCATACTAGTGCCCGTAATAATTCATATAGGTTTTTGAAACTGATAGTGGGTTGTATATCTCATTGAAACCAATATTGTTTTTCAATGTTCCTTAATAATTCCCTCCAGAGATATCCCTTTTGTAGGGTTTGTTGTTACTGGAGAACCCTATGGATAGTCCACGATTTTCGAGAATCATTGCTCTTTGTTAATAAGTCGTGTTAGTGTAATACATATCTATAATTCTAAATGACCAACAAACAACCACGTGCGTTGATGATTTTATTCTCTTAGATGCACTCACACGTGCAGTCTCGGGTGTCGTGTATATCTATATACCCTCCAGATTTCCCAGACCCTAGAGTGATCATGTGGACAACGTAGTCTTGATCTTAAGGACACCATACAGTTAGCACTCTACAGGCTTCTATTATGATCTGAAATGTAGAACGTTTAAAGGACACTGTCCCATACAACAACTTTTGGTCTTCGAAGGAATTATTAGTGAGCAGAAATTCGCCCATGTATCTGTTATCACCCGTCACTTCATTCAGTTATATAAAGGGATAACTCGTGTTTTTCTTTTGCGTTCGCCACTTCCTTTTGTTGAAACATTGATTACTGATCTATCGTAGCACATATGTTCTATCACATATGTGATAATGACTGGCACCAATATTGTCCTTTAATGCGTTATGTAGCGTATATGTTGTTCAGTGAATTTAGCTGGCGGTGGACGTATGTATCTTGGTCTGGCAACTTATATTTTATTGTTATATATTAGTTTTCTTCACTATAAAAGAGTAATTCGTCCGAATATATTTCAGACGCCAATCGAGTCAACGAAACGAAGAAATTGTTCCTGATTTAAACCCAGCTAGTTCTACTATAGATGATACATTTACCACTGGATATCCAAATATTCCAACTAATACACGTAGTGTAGAATATGAAAACCAGTCGTTTAATACAGAAGACAATACGAGAAATATGTATGATACAGTAGATCACACATCAGATGATACACAAAATGTATATACATCTATACATTCTAAAAAACCCAATTAGTATAATGTTTATTTTATATACATTGTAACAAACCCAATTAGTATACTGTATATTTTATATAAAAGATACTTAAAAACATGGTATAAAGATAAACATTTGATTTATATTTCATTCGTTCAAAATTCTTTTAATTCACATTTACATCTCTAGTAGACAAGGCTGTCAGATAAGAAATCAGAATATCAGTTGTAAAGTAACACGATCTCTACAATTTGAGTGCGATGATGTATTAAAGATACTTCCCCAGAAAAGTATTTATCGGGTGGTTATGTCCAATAAATGTATGGCAATTTTGGTATATATGAAAGTAAAAATACCCAATCTTACTAGAAAAATACTGGATCCACTCCTTAAAACACCCATGGAACGCATACAGGACAAAAATGTAATGGTTTCCCTAATTGGCAGTCCGACGATTAGAAATGTCTGTTGGCGTCATGTCAAAGGTAGCACGCGAAGATTGAGCGCCTAATGTATATATGTTTTTTTTTTACTTGAAGAAGAGTTAAATGTATAACACTTTCTGAGATAAAAACCATGTGAAAAGACGTGGGCAGTAGATAATCAGAGAATTTACTTAGGCTTCGAGATTTATGGATAGCGATTAAAGACAACATCGTCTTGCGTATGCAATGAATTTTCCTCCGACTTCGCACCCGTTGCTAGGTAGTGCGTCAGCTAAGTCACGTAACATAATCATGACTTCTTTTAATTGATTTTTATAGCAGGGGTATTCCCTCGCGAAATCAATGTTTTGAGAAGCATGTGAAGCAAAATTTTTGATAGATTATTCAGTTTGAATATGTTTTGAGTCCAAATACATCATCAGATCACTCAGTTTATACGCGGCAACATATATTTAAAGGACAATATTAGTGTCAGCCATTATCACATATGTGATAGAACTGGTTAAACGCGTTCCAAATACAATTTTAACACAGAGATCATTGCTACAATAGATGTGTAACGAAGATTTGAAGAAACGGAAGTGACGCAAAATTGTATTTACTGACTGAAGTAACGAGAGATAATTTCTGCTCACTGGTAAATCCTTTGGGGACAAAAAGTTGTTATATGTCTCATAATTCAAACAAATAATTGACTTTCAATAGATAAGAGGAAACGAAAAAATCAGTGCATTACCATGTTTTTATTAAGTATAGAATGAATAAAAACAAGTGAATGTACGGCTTTTTTATTTTTCTCGTTTCTCTTATATTATGTATAGGTTTCGCGTGATCAATTCAAATATAGATAGGAAACAGTCGATTTATTTCCAATTTTTGTTACCTTATATCCGGATTAAGTTGTTTTCTTATATTATATATAGTTATATTATATCTGGATTAAGTTGTTTTCTTATATTATATATAGTTATATTATATCTGGATTAAGTTGTTTTTTATATTATATATAGTTATATTATATCTGGATTAAGTTGTTTTCTTATATTATATATAGTTATATTATATCAGGATTAAGTTGTTTTTTTATATTATACATAGTTATATTATATCTGGATTAAGTTGTTTTCTTATATTATATGTAGTTATATTATAGTTGTATTATACCTGGATTAAGTTGTTACCTTATATTATATATGGTACTTTATATTATATATCGTTGTGTTATATCTGGATTAATTTGTTACCTTATATTATATGGTACTTTATATTATACATAGTATGTCTGGATTAAGTTGATACATCATGTATAATTATATTTCATTTGGATTAAGTTAGTATTTTATATTATATATAATCATATTTTATCTGGATTAAGAACTTTATAGTCATGTTAAGATTAAAATATATTTATTGATATTTAAAAGAGTAAAATATGTTTAAGTGATATATTATCTGGATTAAGAACTTGACCGTTTGTTTAGTATTTAGTACTATTGCTATGTTACTATAAGTCACTATAATATTATCTTCCAATATAAATCTGAATGACTTAATAGTATTTTTTACATTGTTATTATATTATTAAAGATGATAACGAGTTTATTTTTAAGCCGTAATATATTTATGGACATCCGAATCAAATCTATAAATGTCTTGTTTGCCTACTAACCATACATTTATACTGCTTAAATATATACTTATTATTTTTTTTACTTATTATATTGATCATATTGGCTTAGTAATATATGTCAGTTTCTTTCGTCGTTCAGCAGATTTATCAGGTGGGTCTCAGTGCAGATTTTATTCATTAGCAATTCAGCGCAAATGATACTTTGCATGATTGGGAGGTTTTACCAAGATTGTTGTACCGAGCGAGATACGTTTTAGAAAATTGTATCTGATTTTTGTACTTTTATGTCATTATTTTAAAAACAATAATGTATAGATTGTATTTGTTAACATTATGCTTTATAACATTATTCATAATATTCAATAAACAATATTTACTGTTTCCAGTCTCCATAAACACCCCAACAATTATTTAACTTTTCTTACAAAGATCAACAAATTGCCCAGTATTGTGCACGTATTGTCTGTCTGACTATTCGGTGTGGTTATTTTGATTTAATGGAGACAACTCTATAACGCATACAATTATAGACCACTGAGTTATTTCCCCTTGTTACAAAACCAAACCCTAACCGTATAAAGAGAGAGAGAAATGGAGTTTAACGTCCACTCGACACAAACTAGGTCATTTCGGGACTAACACATGGTTCAATTTTATTTCAACAATTCGCTTACGTGTTTGGGTCTTTAGCAGTGGGGAGAAATCGGGGGACCCGGAGAAAACCCACGAGGTTGGACAGGCGACCCTATTCTTTTTCACGTACAACCAGGAAATGAAATGAAATGAAATGGAGTGGCTAATGAAGACGGGCATACGCCATACAGTGTGCTATGAGGGAAATTTTGCCCGGACAGCGGCACTACGGCCTACTCTTATATCGAATTCCAACTGCCAAGGGATCTTTTACGTGCACGCCAATGTGTACACGGGACCTCGGTTTTTCGTCCCATCCGAACGACTAGACAGCTTTCCTTGTCAGCCCTCCGGCCTGCATCACTGACAAGGGAGAACCACGCCGGAAAATCTGGATGAACTTTCTCGGCCAATGCAGGGATCGAACACCCGACACCTGGCTAGCCGGCTAGCGTCTTACCCACTTAGCCACGTGATCCCCCGTACAACGAGGGAATCTAAACAACGCCAGTTGACTTATGATACAGCGCGCACGTGCTAACCATTCGCCCCCCCCCCCTTAACCGTATAACAACAATACAGTAAGAGGAAACCTTTTGTTGAACTGTCGCTGTTTCAGAAACTGTAATGTTTTTTTAGAACTGCCGGTAATCAGGGATATATCTAGTTTCGTCGCCATTCAAACCTTAGCCCATTTAATATGGAGATATTTCCATTGATGTTGTTTTGGGTGAAATTGAGTCAGTTTTCGTTGTGTGTTAAAATATTGTCTAGTAATAAAACTCATGTTTTTCCCCAGTCTTCACAATCCCGTTATCCTCCTTTCAGTTATCGCACCAGGTATGAAATATACTCTTCAAAATAGTATTCAGAAACAAAACAAAACTGCGTTCTGCTGTTTTTATTAGAGGTAATAACAGGCCAATTGCCTCCACACAAACATAAACAGAACAGTTCATATGAGCGGATTATCTGACGGCCCCATTTCACTCGCAAAGAGATACACGTTTTTAATGAGTAATTGCTCCACCAATCAGCTCAGACATTCAGCAATTCGTCGTGGCATGCTCCTTATCAACCATCCAATCACGATTTGGGGCAATCTGACCCACTCCTCTTGCAGTTCCACGGCCAATTCTTGCAGTGTTGTCGGTTGACGTTGACATCTCCCGATCATGTCCCAGACATGCTCTATAGGGGAAAGGTCAGGACTCATGGTGCTTCCTCCCAACACCATAACAGACCCACGCCCAAATCTGTCATGGTGTCTGACGTTAACGTTAGCATGACGCTCATTTACACGCCTTCAAACGCGAGCACGTCTATCGGTAAAATCCGGAGTAAATGGAAAATGTTTGTCCAGCGTGATAGAAAACCGATAGCTGTACTGGCCGTATGAGTGACCTAATAACTGTCAAGACAAAGTTTCTTCCCGTTGCATGATACGGATGAAAAGGGGGGAATCCGACTGTTCGAACAATTGCAAGTATTCCATTGATTCAAAAGAGGATGATTTAGACAAATATTTGAGTTTCGACAAGACAAATATGTGAGCACCAGTTAGCTTTTAGAAACAGTTGCTTTCAAATCACGATGGTCCGATAGTTGTTTGTGTTTGACCGTGTATAGTTATAAGAATACAAAGGGAAGAATATTCTTCGGTTGGAATAGCTTTTGGTCGGATTTATGTTTCTAAAAAAATTGACAACAAAAGCATATATTTCAATATATAGAACGCCTTTTTAGAGAACGTTATGAATTTCCCTCCAAAATGAGCCCCCATTATGAATTTGGCCCCGAGCGGAATTAACCGTCACTTTCGGAGGAATAGACCAATTGCCGATGTCGGTTCCGCCATCTTGAATCACGGAGGTCAAAGTTCAATCGGAGCAAAAATGACGTCTACTAGATAAGACTTTGCTTTCAAAGCAATGCACGGGTCACTTCTATGGAATACAAATACTGTTTATTACTGAGCGACGTTTCCTGATAATTAGGATTTCCATAGAATTGTCACCTGTGTATTTCCAGTTCATTAAAAGGACATGAAAAATAATATAATTTGTTTTTTTATAATTTTTACCCAAGTCAATTTTAATTTTCACCCAAGTCAATTTTAATATAATTTTTTTTTTATAATTTTCACCCAAGTCAATTTTAATTTCCACCCAAGTCAATTTTAATATAATTTGGTTTTTTTTATAATTTTCACCCAAGTCAATTTTAATATAATTTGGGGTTTTTTTTATAATTTTCACCCAAGTCAATTTTAATATAATTTGTTTTTTATAATTTTCACCCAAGTCAATTTTAATTTCCACCCAAGTCAATTTTAATTTTCACCCAAGTCATTTGTAATATAATTTCAATTCTGTTGAATTTTCACCCAGCGCGTGATGTCATCCCCATTAGCCTCGTTTCCAAAACACTAATTTTCGCCCGCCATTGGGAAAATAAACGTGCACGGGTCGACACAATCTTAGTCGGGATCTGACAGTGATACGTATTGAAATAAAATGAAATGGGGGTTTAACGTCCTACTCCGACTGGGTTACTGAATACAGTATGCCAGAAGGGAAATTTTCCTCTGTCAGCGGCACGACATGAGATTTCAACTGTCAAGAGTTATTTTACATGCTCGCAATGTACTAGGGGCCTGGATATTGATATAAGCACCCATCATAGACAACGCTACCGAACATCCAGACATAGAATTTAGCGCAGTTTGTTGGAAAGGGATAACAAAAAATAACTTGGCCTATGTGCACTAATGAATGATGGGTCACACGCATGGCTCTTGACCTTACTACTACATATGCCTCGGAACTCTGGGGATCTCAAATTGCTCATAGCAAGAACAATACCACAAAAAACTGGAAAAGAATTGAATTAAATTCAATAACAAAGAAAACAGCGAAATCAATCCTAATGCAGCCCCCTAAAACTTCAAATATTGGCTGCCTGTCTGAACTTGGACTTTTCCCTCTTCACTTCACCGTGTACCAAAAAATGTTGTTATATTATAAACGGCTGGATAATCTAAAATCTAATCCATCTCATTCCCATACTATCTTGACTGCAGCATTTGATGAAGACGTTAAAATTGCGCTGAAAATAATAAATGAGTATGACATTAATATCAATAATCTTTCCAAATATAATATAAAATCCTTGTTAGAATCTAAATTCAACTCATTTTATTCAAATACCTGTAATATGAAAGATAACTATACCAGCCATAAGCCAAAACTTAGAACATACACCACTTTTATGACAAGAATTTCAAAACCGCCAGCATATCTGCTGTCCGTATCTAACAAACAGTATAAATGTTCAATGACATCCCTCCGCCTTAGCTCTCACCAACTTCAAATAGAGAGAGGTCGGTACCATAACATTGCCGAAAAAGACAGAATTTGTAGACACTGCTCTAACAATATTGTGGAGGATGAGTTTCATTTTCTAATGGAATGTACAAAACATGAAACCATTCGAAATAATATTTTGTACCCTGCCTTATACGCCAACAGTCTACAATTCTCCTTCGATGTTATGTTTGACCCAACCTCACCAGTTGCAAAATCTGTGTGCTCATTTGTTTTTCATGCTTTCAAAAACAGAGAGTGATGCCTTCTGCCTTATTTACAATAAACAACATAATTTAACTCCAAAACAAAAGAGTCCTAAAGGAAGCACATGCCTATTATCCCCCCCCCCTTTGCTATTTAATTGATTTCTAACATTATATACATAATACGTTCGTTATTTGCTACATGTATATTTGTTGCATTGTATTAATGTTCGTTTATTTGTTACATGTATATTTGTTGTATTGTATTTATGTAATTTTTGTAATTGTATGCTGCTCCTCCTGGGCGTTTTTATGCAATAAATTTACTTACTTACTTACTGGAAACAAACACAGATAGCTTAGCCATGAAGTCAAAGGGCCTCTTTTCTTACAGGACACAGAGGGTCTCTTTTCTTGGACTTGGGGCACTTCAACTGGATTTGGTGCTTCCTTTCAGTTTAATTTTTGGATCCAAAAATGAAAACTCGAAGACGATCCGTTGAGAAATAACCGAGATATGGGAAATCTGAGATTATTTTCTGTCCTTCGATATTCAAGATGGCGTATCTGCGTCACTATTTGAGGTATCAAGTTGTCCTTTTCATATATGATGACCCCCACGTCTACTAACAATTAATATCAAAACTTCCGGCTTTATTAAGAGTTCAAAATTACCGTTTTTTAAATTTCAATAGGTATTACTATACTCATAATGACCTGACGTAACGAAACACGTCAGTACTCTTTGGAGTTCTAATTTATTTTAGAAGAGCTTTCATCCTATATAGATGTGTTTAATTTCAACAAACCTTTCTATTGAATATTGACATAGATAACTGCAACCGTTGGTACGTTGTATGATTAATATCTATTGATGTATACTATGAGAATTTTTATTGGAGCAACAATACAGTATGTATGTCTATGTAAATTCAAAATGACACGTTCGACAAATATTAATAAACTCAAAATGACATGCTCGACTTTTAATATGATGCAGGCGTTAAATCACCAGCTACTATATAAAATTACCTGTTCGACTATAAATTTGAACAGGCATGGATGCACGCTGACGTTTAGCCAGCAGCAAAGATATACAATATTTTTTACCAATAAACTATAGTACATACTGTTAAATCCATTGAATATGTTTATCTACCAACCATTGGTAAGTT